TGGCGTGGGCCGGGGCGGCGGTGCCGGCGCGGACACCCCACGGCTCTTGTGTGTGGCATCTTGGTGCCCTCTCTTGGCTGCCCCGGCTTTGACGTTTTTCTTCTCTCCCTTCCTTGGGTAGCTTTTCCGGGGTCCGTGCTGATGGCTCAGAAGCCACCAGCCCGGCGGTGGCGAGCTCTTTGGGGATGGCGTCCGCCCAGAGGTGGGTTTGCCGCGCTGTCACCCGCAGCAGGGATGGCCACCCTCCTCCCGCCGCTGCCTGGCACATCCTCTCCTCCCGCTGGTGCCCCTGCCCAAATATTTCTGGCTCTGGGTTTGTGCGAGGAGCGGGGTGTGTGTGTAACACATACCGGTTTGAGTACAGCTGCTTATTGGGTTACTGGAGCAGAAGGGGATGAGACAGATGATAAAACTGTAGAATTGCCTGTCCCTTAATCCTGTCGTCATTTTCTAAAAAAAAAAAAAAAAAAAAAAGGTGAGAACAACATTTAACTAAGACCACTGAAAAATAGGGTTTGGATGAGGGAGTGGGGAAGGAAGGGTTGGAACTGAGGGTACAAGATTTCTCTTGCCAAAGAAGGGTTTTCAGCAGTTTCCAGCAATAGGACAAGCATGACCTCACAGATGTTTTGGCAACTGCACTGAGCCAGCAATGTGCCCTCGTGGCCAAGAGGCCAGTGGGATCCTGGGCTGCGTAGGGAAGAGTGTGGCCAGCAGGTCCAAGGAGGTCACTCTCCCCCTCTGCTCTGCACTGGGGAGGCCACAACTGGAATCCTGCCTCCAGTTCTGGGCTCCCCAGTTCAAGAGGGACAGGGAACTGCTGGAGAGAGTCCAGTGTAGGGCAACAGAGATGATGGAGGGATTGGAGCATCTCCCTGATAAGGAAAGGCTGAGAGAGCTGGGGCTCTTTAGCCTCGAGAAGAGAAGACTGAGGGGAGACCTTATCTATGCTGACAAGTACCTAAAGGGTGGGTTGAAGGAGGATGGAGCCGGACTCTTTTCAGTGGTTCCCAGTGACAGGACGAGGGGCAACGGGCACAAGCTGGACCATGGGAAGTTCCACTCCAATGTGAGGAAGAACTTGTTTGGGGTGAGGGTGGCAGAGCCCTGGCAGAGGCTGCCCAGGGAGGGTGTGGAGTCCCCTTCTCTGGAGATCTTCCAAGCCCCACCTGGATGCTCCTGAGTGCTGTGCTCTGGGCAACCCTGCTTTGGCAGGGGGGTTGGACTGGATGATCTCTAGAGGTCCCTTCCAACTCTGACAATGCTGTGATTTGGTTTGTGTGTTTGTAAGGCAGTTCAGTCCTGCCATACGCTTGCACATTTAACTGTTTTGCTCACCACGCCCTAGTGATCTCCATGCTGTGGCTTTTTTTCCCTTCTTTTGGCCTTTTTTCATTGTCTCGCAGAGTTCTCTTTCCATTAATAAAAATTCCTGCTCAGTTAACTTATTTTGTGATCTCTGTTAGCAAAGATTTGTGCAACTGGAAACTATGAGTCACCAGATCCTCATTTAGAAGAATGAATGGCCTTATGGTCAGCCAGTCACTGCCTCTGCTGCTGTAGAGCTGCTGCTCTGTCACATTCTTTAAAAAATCCCCTCTCTCCCCGTTTTTTGTCACTCAATTGCAAAAATTCTTCCTGGAGCTGCAGTAAACAGGTGGATCTGCAGGAATTAAGAAATAGCATTCCTGTAAACTTCAGCTTCTTCAGAAAAAAAAAAAAAAAACCCAAACTGTGGAGCTATTTCAATATTTTCAAATAAAAGTGAAAGAAAGCAGTGTGTGTGTAAGGCATGGTGTGCCTTCAAGCTATACCTGATGCTGGTATATTTTAAACCTCTACAGCAGCATTTTAAGAAGAGAGAGTTTATGCTATCCCTTTTTTAAAAATTTCACACTTGCTATGATTTTAGTAATAAGAATAATGTAGGGCATTTTTTTTTAGCCTCCTGAGAACTGCCACACTCACAGAAATGTGCTCCTAAAGGACCAGCTTCCTTTAAAATAAAATGAAAGTGAAAACTAACTGGGCAGGACTTTAAGTTCTTCTAAAAGTTAGTATCTTTTTTCTTTTTTTTTTTTTTTTTGTCTTGCTACGGTCATGCTTTTTTCCTCTCCTCTGGTAAGGCATTGGATAACAAATGACAGAGTTGGAGAGGATTTTAGATAAGTAGTAGCCGTGGGGCGTCAGCTGGGGGGTAAAGGGGATGAAGCTCATCCCTGCAGCAGGCTACGTGACCACGTCTCTGTCTGCCTCCAAGTGCTGGGATATCAAAGTACCAAAGCAGTGGTGTGTGTCAGGTGATGTGGTTGAGGAGCCTGTCTGCCCGTGTGTGTACCGAGGAGAACAGGCACAAGGTTCTGCACTTGGGCCACAACAACCCCCTGCAGCGCTACAGGCTGGGGGAAGTGTGGCTGGAGCTGCCTGGAGGAAAGAGACCTGGGGGTTCTCATTGACAAACGGTGTGCTGGGATATCAAAGTACCAAAGCAGTGGTGTGTGTCAGGTGATGTGGTTGAGGAGCCTGTCTGCCCTGTGTGTGTACCGAGGAGAACGGGCACAAGGGTGGGTGGGGAACCTGGGCCATACCCTCGCCCAGATACTCATAGGTCTGTTACGGGAGAGCAGCCAACCTCGTGAAGGTTTATCTCTGCACACAAAGGAGCACAGAGACACTGGCAGCCCCAGTGACCCACCTGGAGAGCTGTCCTGGGCAGCCATTGCCCCGTGGGCCAGGGGTGATGCCCATCTGCACGGGTCAGTGGGAGGCTGGCTCCCCTTGTGGGCCATGGGGAGCACAGAGTGGAGGGGAAGAGCTTTCGGGGATTGTGGGGCGTTCAGGGGAGGAACCAAAGGCAGGGATCCAGGCCATTTGGGAAGGAACAAATGTGGGGAAAATAAAAGGAAAGATGGACAAAAAGGGCTGACCCTGCATAAGCAGGGCTGCTCTGTACCCTCGGCTGCCTGTGTCCTGCAACCGCTCCATCCTATATCCTCATTAAACTCCCTAGCTGCATTCCCAGGAAGGGATGCTGTTTTGCATGTGTGTGTCCGTGTGGAGGTGTCAGTGCAAGTGCCTGGAGCCAGAGCAGGGGCTTGGAGGGCCTGTGTGTCTGTGGTGCCAGTGTGAGTGTGCAATGGCTAGCAAAGTTCAAGACAGACTAGCCAATAAGTAGGTGAGGTGGCCTGGGAGCCAGGCATGTGTGTATCTCTGAGGGTGAGACCACTGGAGCAGCCAGAGGTCCTGGCCAGCCACCAGAGAGAAAGTGGGGTCCGTGGTCAACCCCCAATTCCTTGGGGGTCCACAGCACATGTGATGGTGTGTGTAACAGCAACTCATATGTCCAGGTATCAGCAACTGGGGAAACTGGGGTCTGGGGACAGCTGCTGCTAAGACTAAGGCAGCTACTGAGCCAGCTATGTGGATCCACGTTACACACGTGTGTCTGTGTGTTTCCCACTAACAGAACTCCATCCTGGTCCATCAGGGAGGGGAACAGGATGAGGCCATCACCGGTGCTGTCTGTGTGAGCATCGGTCTGCGCTGACCGGTGTGGCCGGCCACGTGTGTGTTTGGGCACGCGTCGTGCGTGTGCGTGTCTTGTGTGCGTGCCTGCTGGAGGTACCTGCTGGGGACAGGGAGCTGTGGCACTCTCACTTCTGCCAAGCTGGGGGTTTTGGCAGCCCTCTGTGTGCCAGTGTGCCAGGTGCCTCAACGCAAGAGTAATGCCAGGTATTCATCGAGCAAATTTGTGTTACACTGGCTGGTGTTCTTTTTCTTATAGAAGTACAAAGAAACCCAGATGGTTTTGGTGGTTACGTTGTCGTGTCATGCTAACTGTATTCCTTCTCACCAAAATAACTTTCTCTTGTTATGCCCACATGTCTAAAACTTCCTGTATCACTGCAGTTGGGCCAAGTAGTGACATACCCACTATGGCTGATCTACACTGCTATCATGAGGCTCTTCAGGAATCCCCACCCCGCCATTACTCTGAAGGATCCTGAGGTGAAGTATGCATTGAGGCTGGTTGATAAGGAGGTAAGTGCATGTACAGTGCTGAGCATGACCTCCCCGTGGTTACTGTGAAATGTTCATAGCTTCTTAAATCTTGGGTAACATTGCAGCAGGGTAAAAACTTGTATTTTAAGGACAGGACTTCTTCATACCTGGCTCCTTCCCGGGTATAACTGAGTTCTGCAGTTCTGCAAGCAGCTTGTTTCCAAGCAAGTTAGAGTGGAGAATGCTGCTTTAGAAATGACCAAACTCGTGGTTTCTGTCATGTGTGTCTCGTGCCATGGAGTACATCAGCAGAAATTCCTAAACTCTGTACTACTAGATTGACTATGAGACAGAAGTCGTTCTGTCAGGCAGAGCAGGCAGTTTTTTTGGCATTCAGCATAGTAGTTGTCAGAACTATGTTGATACTGATTCTTGTTATTGGATTTATGTACTTTAATGTGCTACGGGAAGAAAGGTGTTTAAACATTATGGTCCTGACAGCACCTGAGCTGTCTCAGCTTCTCTTTCTCTCTGTTAAAAGCAGAGGCCTTTCTGTACCTCCCAGGCTGCTCAACCAGGTTTTGAGAGGAAACTCATGACCCTTTCAGGGCTGGATCTTGATATCAGAATTTGGTAACTCAACTTGTGGGAAGGGGACCAAAGCCACAAAAGGTGAAAAGTCCAGGTTTTCTTTGCATAAATGCATTCATAAAAGCATGAGATAGGAATCTTGGTTTTTCAGGTGTGAAGCCACACCTGAAGATAATGTTAGTGTTGATTGAAATAAATTCAGTAAGTACACATGGGAAATAATGGACTTCTTTCCCATGTGTATTGCAACAACACTATTATTCTATACTTCCCACTTTCTCATGAGATTTGTAGCACGTGGTTGCAGTGTGCCTGACCTGCAGGAGGGGAAGGAAGCTTGAGGTACTGCACATGCTTCTGGGAATCAAGCTACTTGCAATTTTCTGCTGTAGCAGTCTGTAACAGAAGAGAATTCACAGTTCACTTGATTTTTTTTGCTAAATACTGTTTTGTTTTTTTTCCTCACTTTATTGTTACTTTTTGTGTGGGTTTTTTTGATCTCAGGATGGGAGAAAAGCTCTTCTATAACCAGGTCAAATGCTGCTGCATGTGGTACCTTGATCAACTGAGGTTATTTGCCTGATGGATGTTTATAATTTTTTGCCTAAATGGGAAATGTGTCCTGGAAGCAGAAGTTAATTTTGAAAAATAATAACTTTGTACAATAAGTACTGGTAGCATCTATCAGCCTGCCAAAAATCCGATGCAAACACTCTGATCTTTGGTAGTAAACTTCTCAGCATTGCTATATTCACCTGTCTGGGAAAGATGAGATTAATCAGAGTCTTTCTGACATGCTTCAGTTTGTATTTGACAAGCAATTAAATTTGAAGCAGCTGAGAACTTTAATGTAAAAACACCTGTTATACAAAAACATTTTAAGTTGGGAAGATGGTTGTGGCTCTTGGTGTGGTTGTGGAGCCTACTCGAGACATCCGTGTGGTTGCCTAGAGTTTACTTTCATTGCAAGAGGGATTTCAGTGTGCTGGTTTTACCTTTTAGTGTTGCTCCTTTTGCTTGCCCAGCTGAGCTAAAGACCCTCATGTCCCTCATGTTTTTAAAGTTTCTGCTGTTCCCATGTTGATATTTATCATTGCCTTTTTGTGACTATGAAGCTGTTGGTACCTTCACCAGCATCGCACCAAAATGATTTGTGTTTAAAATAAAAAATGAACAAATGAACTCCCTGTTTTGGGAGTAGCTGGAGGCTGTAATTTTTAAACTGATCTATTTTGATGATGTAGTTGAGACCACAGCCTTGCAAAAAATTTTCATAGTGGACTGTGGCCCAAGCAAAGGAACAAGAAGTTTGACAAGGAAGGGCAGTGGCAGGAAGTACTTAAACTGATTTCACAGCTAAAGAAAATGGACCAGTGATTACAATGGAAAACTGAGTCATATGTACTGGGCTGCCGTACAGTAATACACATGTTTGAAATTTCAGAAAGATTCCATAGTTACGCAGAAACAGTTTTTAGGTGTCTGCAATCTGAAGTTTGAAAAGCATTGGTCTAGAGAATGCCTAGTTTGACATACGTTTCTTTTAACACAGCTTAGACTTTTGTGTATGAAAGCTGGCAATCGAATGTACCAGTTTGTCAAGCTGTTGTGAGTAGAAGGCTTCCTTCCTCTATCCACTGTCTGCCCTTTACCTACCAACTGAAATGTTACCATCTGCCCAAACTGAGTATGCCATACCTCCTGTCTGTCGAATGAAGAAATAAGGGTCACAAGGCTGCTTCTTAGTGTTTAGCATAGGAAAAAAACTGTCATAATATAGTTAGCTGTGCTAATTTCAGAGAAGCTCATACTTGCAATATGCAAAAATTTCATTTAGGATGCTGCTTTCCCCCAAATACTTTATCCTGCAGGAAGCTGGACGAGTGTGTTGGTTTTACAAGTGAAAAAACGAACATTAAATCCCAGCAACATAGCTGATTGTTCTTTTTATTTTCCTCTTTCAGGAAGTTAGTCATGACACAAGAAGATTTCGATTTGCTCTCCCTTCCATAGATCACGTTCTGGGTCTCCCTATAGGTACGTTCTGCCTTTCCTTACTCAGAATCTAAGTGTTGTTAATTATATTATAAGAGACTTTTTTCCTGGGGTTTTTTTGTTGTTGTTTTTTTTAACTGTTGAATTTTGATTACTCTTGAACTGTTATTTAGAGCTTTGCAAGATTATCCTTGTGCTGTGAGTCACCTGCAGGGTCTGAAGTCCTATGTACTTAAAGAGACTGCACATCCAGCTTGTTTCTCTGAACACAGTAGAAACAAACACTGGTCTGTGCTTTTTTTTTTTTTGTTGTTGTTTTTTTTAACTGTTGAATTTTGATTACTCTTGAACTGTTATTTAGAGCTTTGCAAGATTATCCTTGTGCTGTGAGTCACCTGCAGGGTCTGAAGTCCTATGTACTTAAAGAGACTGCACATCCAGCTTGTTTCTCTGAACACAGTAGAAACAAACACTGGTCTGTGCTTGTGTTTTTCCAGTCTCAGCTTCCCAGTGTGTGTTATTCCTGTGGTGCTTGGTCTCTGTGGTCCCTTTCCATCCCCCGAGGCAGCACTCTCAGCTACTTCACCTCCTAACACATGCGCTGTGCCAGATGATCTACTCACTTCTGAATTTGCAGCCAGGCTCATGGAACTTCTTAATCACCGTGGGGTAGATGTTTCCTTTGGCCCTGCCATGTGGCATGTTGCCTTCCATAGTAGCTTAGCGCTGTTGTTTCCTACTACTTACATAAAGAGCTTTTAATTGTGACTTGTGTTTAACAGGGACTTCTGCTCTAACAACTTGTTGCAATGATCTGTGGATCAGGTGCTTCGTGGTAGTCCTCAGGACCTTTCCAGCATTACAAGTCCATCGTGTTTAGCTTCCCTTTTGTTTGGGATATATTATTCTCTTGATCCTGTTAAGTAGCCCTGAGGGCAAAGCTAGTTTTCGTCCCTTGCCCATAATGAATATTGAGGAGTGAGCTGTTTCACCTCTGTAATTGTTTTTGTCCTACACACTAACAGAAAGGAAGCCATCTGGGATTAATTTGGCCTGCAGGATGCCATGGCTTCTTCCAGGGTTTTTGTAAGGTCGGGGCAAAGCAGCCAGTTGTTTCAGCATTGGCCGAGAAGGTGTGTGCCTGGCCCTGTATTGTCCCAGGAGCAGCACAGTCTTACTCCCAAAGGTGCTCTGCTACCATGGGTGACTGGTCTGTGGGTGACTGAGGAAGTGGTTTACTGGGCTAGATGTGGGAAGCAGAGAGCTGAAAGCTGGTGAGGGTGGTAAAAGCAGCTGGGAGCAGCAGGCTGGGCAGCTATGGGACAGATTCTGTTGTGCACTCTGCCTGTTTAGTCCAGAACCAGCATTTCCCTTTTATCACCAGCTGGAGCCATACAAAATACACAATTCATACAAAATACACAATTCTGTCTGAGGAAGAGTGGGATTGAGAGTGGGATTCTACAGGCCAATTAGTCTCACCTCTGTCCCTGGGAAAATAATGGAACGACTTGTTCTGGATGTCATCTCCAAACATATTGAAGACAAGTTATTGGAAGTGGTTAACATGGATTTACCAAGGGTAAATCATGCTCGACCAATCTGATATGTTGTTATAAATAGATGGCTGGATGAGGGGAGAGCAGCAGATGTCATCTAGCTTGACTTCAGCAAGGCTTTTGACACTGTCTCCCCCAACATCCTCCTTAGAAAATTAAGGAAGTGTGGGGTAGATGAAGGGGCAGTGAGGTGGATTGAGTCCTGGCTGTGTGACAGAACTCAGAGGGTTGTCATTAATGGAGCAGGGTCAAGTTGGAGGCCTGTAACCAGCGGTGTCCCCCTGGGGTCAATACTTGGCCCAGTCCTGTCCAACATATTCATCAATGGCCTGGACGAGGGGACAGAGTGTATCCTCAGCAAATTCACTGATGATACCAAACTGGGAGGGCTGGCCGACACTCCATAGGGCTGTGCTGCCATCCAGGGTGACCTGAACAGGCTGGAGAGCTGGGCAGAGAAGAACCTGATGAGGTTCAACAAGGGCAGTTGTAAGGTCCTGCTCCTGGGGAGGACGAACCCCAGGCACCAGTATAGGTTAGGGGTGGATCTTCTGGGAAGTACTACTGAGGAGAAGGATCTGGGAGTCGTGGTGGATGGCAGGCTCTCCATGAGCCAGCAATGTGCCCTTGTTGCCAAGAGGGCCAATGGAATCCTGGGCTGCATAGGGATGGCCAGCAGGTCAAGGGAGGTCATTCTCCCCCTCTGCTCTGCACTGGGGAGGCCACAACTGGAATCCTGCGTCCAGTTCTGGGCTCCTCAGTTCAAGAGGGACAGGGAACTGCTGGAGAGAGTCCAGCGTAGGGCAACAGAGATGATGGAGGGATTGGAGCACCTCCCTGATGAGGAAAGGCTGAGAGAGCTGGGACTCTTTAGCCTCGAGAAGAGAAGGCTGAGGGGAGACCTCATCTATGTTTGCAAGTTCCTAAAGGGTGGGTTGAAGGAGGATGGAGCCGGACTCTTTTCAGTGGTTCCCAGTGACAGGATGAGGAGCAATGGGCACAAGCTCGACCATGGGAAGTTCCACTCCAATCTGAGGCAGAACTTCTTTGGGGTGAGGGTGGCAGAGCCCTGGCAGAGGCTGCCCAGGGAGGGTGTGGAGTCCCCTTCTCTGGAGATCTTCAAGCCCCACCTGGATGCTCCTGAGTGATGTGCTCTGGGCAACCCTGCTTTGACAGGGGATTTGGACTAGATGATCTCTAGAGGTCCCTTCCAACTCTGTCAAATCCATGAATCCGTGTATGGTCCCATGCATGTATGTCCTGTCAGGGCTGGGTAAAGCTCTAATAAGATATAAGGCATGTTTTCCCTTTGGATGGAGCCCCTTGTTTTGGATCTGTACCGATTCTTGTCACACATGCCCTGGCAGCGGTCCCATCCCTCCAGTTTCACAGTCTGCACTGGTCACCATGGGTCTGTTCCTGGAGGAGGGGGCAGCGAGGTGATCCCTTGCCTAAAGGAGGAATGGGAGGCTGCTGCTGCTGCAGCTTCCCTGAGGTCTTCCCTCTCAGGAGACATGCTGCCAGGTGGGAGCACAAGTCTTACGAGGAGAGGCTGAGGGAGCTGGGGGTGTTCAGTCTGGGGAAGAGGAGACTGAGGGGAGACCTTATCGCTCTGTACAAGTACCTGAAAGGAGGGTGTAGAGAGACGGGGGTCGGTCTCTTCTTCCAAGTTACAGATGTCAGGACAAGGGGCAATGGCTTCAAGTTGCGCCAGGGGAAGTTCAGGTTGGATATTAGGAAACATTTCTTTACTGAAAGGGTTATCAGGCATTGGAATGGGCTGCCCAGGGAGGTGGTGGAGTCACCATCCCTGGAGGTATTTAAGAAACGTGTAGACATGGTTCTTCAGGGCATGCTCTAGTTCCCAAGATTACTGGTTTGTGGTGGGGTGCTGTGTGGGTGGGTGATGGTTTTTGGTTTGGTGGTTGTTGTTGTGTGTTTAGGTGATGGGTGGTGGTTTGTGTTTTTGTTTGGGTTTTTTTTGGTTTTTTTTTTTGGTGGTTGGACTCGATGATCTCTGAGGTCCCTTCCAACCACTACGATTCTGTGATTCTGTGGGAGGCTTTGTAGAGAGGGTTATTTGAGTCACTCTTACCTTATGTCCACGTACAGCTTCAAGTGAGTTATGGTTGCTCATTTCCCAGGTCACCAGATGGCCCATCTTCATTCACCCACTGGTTTGCCTCACTGGCTTGGCAACCCAGCTCCCAGTAAAATCCCCTCTCTGTGACAGGCAGAGAAGTGACACTGTCTTTGGAGAGCTGCATTCATCTTAAGAGATAGGATCTTCTGTTTGACCTACTGGTGGTAAAATAACAAAAAACAAATCGCCCCCTAGGTATTCTTCACTTGGTTCTCTTCAGGGTGTTGGAATTTTATAGGGCAACCCTTCAAAGGGGTTACTTCTAGGGTTGGTTTGGTTTTTTTCATCAAAAAATGCAGACATTGAGAAGATAAGTTGAGTGAATCTGCGGCAGAGTGAAACGTCATCGCTACCTTCAGATGTTAAGCTGGAGGGATAGCAGGGTTAGAAAAGTGCTTTATGTCTAAGCAACCTTAGCAATGGCAGCCAGAAGACCCCATCTAGACATGAGCAATCTGTGGTCAAAGTAAGAACAGTTATAAACTCAGTTGTAACTAAACTGTAACAGTTTGTAACTAACATGTTAATAAAGAAATGTGAACAGTTTTCCCCTCCTGTATCCTTTTTTACTGGTCTGTAATGGAGAGGCGTATCACATCTTGTACAAGATCTCCTGTACCATCAGGACTTTAGTAAGTGTAAAGGCATGAAGCTATCAGAACAGATCTGACTGACACATGAAAGTAGCAGCAGAGTTGTCTGCCCTTCCAGGTAGAATCGGTGTGTGGTTAACAAGGCTGGCGAGGTGTTACAATGGCAGGAAAATGAGAGAGGAAGAAGTGATGCCCCAAACCAAGGTAGTTAGGAGAACTTTGAGGCTGTGTTTGCAGTCCGTGCCAATTCAGTACATCCACTGAAAGAAAAATCTTTTGAAAGCAAACTGCTTTTTTTTTCTTCTTTGCGCACAGGGCAGCATATCTACCTGTCTGCACGGGTTGATGGAGCTCTGGTTGTTAGACCTTACACTCCAGTTTCCAGTGATGATGACAAGGGTTTTGTGGATCTTGTTGTCAAGGTGAGGACATCACTCTCTTTTACCAGGCTTCTGTTCAGGTATGTGCCACTGTGAACTTCTACCTGTAACAAGTGGTCTGCAGTTACCTACAGTCCATATGGCGTTTTACAAGCACTTCTTTAATGAGTGTGTCTCATGAGATGCTGCATAATTTTCTGTATTTGCATACTGCAATTTTCCAAGGTCTGTGCAGACCTGCAGATGTTCACAGGCTTTTTTAATCCTCCTGAAATAAGGAATTAACCTTGCCTGAACTGTCAGCTTCTTCTGAAGCTAATGTAATATGGTCATTATGATCATTAGGAGTAGTGATTGTTTTCATTACTGATCCAGACAATGTGACTGACTGATCTAATTGGCAAGAATGTGATTTTGAGCCTTGTGGTAATGTACTTTCATTTTGTCTCTTGGTAGCTAGACTAAGCAAATATATTTAAAGCTGACAGGAATTTAAAACTTTGGGGGTTTTGGCTTTTTTTCTTTTCTTCCCTCTTGAACTTGGATTTGAATCATATTGTTTTTCTGTGTTACAGGAATACAGTGGAGAAATTGCTAGTCTGTGTCCAATCTGATCAGAATTGGGACAAGAGTGGCATTTTAATCTTTATCAGAAAACTCAGTGTTTCTTTTTAATTGTCAGTCAAATCTGCATTGATAATGTTGCTTTATGTAATAATTGTGTTCTTTGCATGAGTATGGGTACCTAAATATTTGAAGGGCAAATACTCATCTTTGAGCTGTAAGATTGTTTCATTGTTATTTTTAACAGATCTACTTCAGAGGTGTCCATCCAAAGTTTCCTGATGGAGGGAAGATGTCTCAATACTTAGACAGCCTGAAAATAGGGGATACTATTGACTTCAGAGGACCAAGTGGCCTGCTTGTCTACAAAGGAAAAGGCAAGGTTGACTCAGAAGATATCATTTATCCAGAGTAAACAATTAAAAACAACCCGAACATTATGAAGATTCTTTTCTGTTTGTTAGCATCTTTGCACAAAAAGAAATTGCTAGTGTCTTAATTAAGTCAACAGCCATCCCGAGGGCAGTTGTTATACGACTCTTCTCAAAGAAGGGACGTCTCTTCCTGCTTATATGGACATAGTTTATACACTTATAAAAACATTTGGTATTTGTGCTGTCCAATGCTAATTTCCCAAGTGAAAATGAACTTTATCAAGGAAGAACTTCTATGCCAATGTAAAATATCTCATTTTGGCGTAGTGCAGCCACAAATGTGTCACAAAAACCTGGCAGCAAAACCCTTGTGAGCAGCAGAACTCAGACATGTGTTTTTCCAGAGCTTTGTATGTTGTGTTGTTATCCTTGATGAAAAGATGTGTGAATACAACAAATACAACATTTTGGGCAATTTCAAAGTCCCTGTCAGACTTGGCAAATCAATTCGAAAAGAGGAGATAAATATGCAAAAATACGCCCTGCATATTTCAGCGTTTTCCTTAAAATAATCTACATGGGATAAATAAACTCTCTGAGCAGATTAATTCCTTTTATTATTCCTTAATTTCCTATTTCCAGAATCTGGCCTTCTGAATATCACTGGGAGTATGGGACTTGAGCAAATAGAAGTACAGGTAGCGATGGCTTGGTGCTATAGTCAGGAATAAGTAATAACCCATGTCAGTGTCTGATGTTGTTATCACGTGTCTCACAATCTCTAATCATCTTTCAGGATTTGTTTTAATTCGTGACATCTTCACCTTTGCTTCCTGCTCTTGCTTTACAGAGGGGGAAGGGTGATAGGACTGAAACAAAGTCAAGTAGCCAAATATGCCAGGAAGGCATCGTAGGCCCTGTCTCCCACTCTCTTCAATGTTTTCCATCTCTCTGTCTCTGCAGGCGAGTTTGCTATTCGGCCTGAAAAGAAAGCTGAACCAGTTACTAAGAAAGTGAAATATGTGGGAATGATTGCAGGTGGGACTGGTACGTATACATGAAGATTCATCCTTGGTTTGGCTGGTAGATGTGTCTGTTCATATTTTCTCTCACGTGCTTGCTTGCTTGCACTTTCTTTTGCTCCTTCACGTTCTCACATCGTTGACCTGCCTTTCTCTTTCAGGGATAACACCTATGCTGCAGGTAATTCGAGCAATCATCAAAGACAAAAATGACCCTACCATTTGTCAGCTGCTGTTTGCCAATCAGGTAATTCTGCCTGTTTTCTGTTTATGGAGTTTTACCTAACTAACAGAACTGCACTCAGCAAATGAAATTCTTGCTGAGAAAGCCTGATACAGAAATACAAACCCTGAGAGGAGAAGTGAACTGAGCTGTTGGCAGCAATATATAAAATGAATAAAATTAATTGGCTTTTTAGTGTTACTACAGAAATACCGTTTTCCTCCCAGCTAATTCTTACTTTCCTGTGTCTCATTGTTCTGTTTCTAACACAGATTATAAATGTTTTAAAACTCTTCATTGCTTTGTGCAAGTTTTTAATGTTTTGGGTAGACTTTCAGGGCTGTCTTACAAACATGAGAGGTGGACATCTGTCTCCTTCAGCAACTGTAACTTCCCAACTTCACAGCAGGGTTTCCATGTGGAACATTTCTGTTTGAGAATACCTTAGGTGAGGCTAAAACTAACAGTCGTCTCTGGCAGCTACAGAGCTGTGATTCTGCACAGCTGTCTCCTTTTTATTCCATTCCTCTGCCAGTTCTTCATGTATTTCTATTGCTCTTTGAGGTGTATCATACTGCCCTGCTGGACAAAGGGAAGATCTCTCATCCATAGAATCCTTGCAATAGAGATTTCTTGGATGACCAGGCAACCCAAATGGTGGTGTGCTGCTGAACTGCAGCAGCCCTGCTTTGCCTGATGTTTCTAGTCAGGTACCAGTACAGGTTAGGGGTGGACCTGCTAGAGGCAACTACTGAAGAGAAAGATCTAGGGGTCCTGGTGGACAGTAAAATGACAATGAGTAAACAGTGTGCTCTTGCGGCCAGGAAGGCCAATGGTATCTTGGGCTGCAGAGGGAAGAGTGTGGCCAGCAGGTCAAGGGAAGTCATTCTCCCCCTCTGCTCTGCACTGGGGAGGCCACAACTGGAGTACTGTGTCCAGTTCTGGGCTCCCCAGTTCAAGAGGGACAGGGAACTACTAGAAAGAGTCCAGCGTAGGGCAACAAAGATGATTCAAGGATTGTAGCATCTCCCTTATGAGGAGAGACTGAGAGAGCTGGTCTCCCACTCTCTTCAATGTTTTCCATCTCTCTGTCTCTGCAGGCGAGTTTGCTATTCGGCCTGAAAAGAAAGCTGAACCAGTTACTAAGAAAGTGAAATATGTGGGAATGATTGCAGGTGGGACTGGTACGTATACATGAAGATTCATCCTTGGTTTGGCTGGTAGATGTGTCTGTTCATATTTTCTCTCACGTGCATGCTTACTTGCACTTTCTTTTGCTCCTTCACGTTCTCACATCGTTGACCTGCCTTTCTCTTTCAGGGATAACACCTATGCTGCAGGTAATTCGAGCAATCATCAAAGACAAAAATGACCCTACCATTTGTCAGCTGCTGTTTGCCAATCAGGTAATTCTGCCTGTTTTCTGTTTATGGAGTTTTACCTAACTAACAGAACTGCACTCAGCAAATGAAATTCTTGCTGAGAAAGCCTGATACAGAAATACAAACCCTGAGAGGAGAAGTGAACTGAGCTGTTGGCAGCAATATATAAAATGAATAAAATTAATTGGCTTTTTAGTGTTACTACAGAAATACCGTTTTCCTCCCAGCTAATTCTTACTTTCCTGTGTCTCATTGTTCTGTTTCTAACACAGATTATAAATGTTTTAAAACTCTTCATTGCTTTGTGCAAGTTTTTAATGTTTTGGGTAGACTTTCAGGGCTGTCTTACAAACATGAGAGGTGGACATCTGTCTCCTTCAGCAACTGTAACTTCCCAACTTCACAGCAGGGTTTCCATGTGGAACATTTCTGTTTGAGAATACCTTAGGTGAGGCTAAAACTAACAGTCGTCTCTGGCAGCTACAGAGCTGTGATTCTGCACAGCTGTCTCCTTTTTATTCCATTCCTCTGCCAGTTCTTCATGTATTTCTATTGCTCTTTGAGGTGTATCATACTGCCCTGCTGGACAAAGGGAAGATCTCTCATCCATAGAATCCTTGCAATAGAGATTTCTTGGATGACCAGGCAACCCAAATGGTGGTGTGCTGCTGAACTGCAGCAGCCCTGCTTTGCCTGATGTTTCTAGTCAGGTACCAGTACAGGTTAGGGGTGGACCTGCTAGAGGCAACTACTGAAGAGAAAGATCTAGGGGTCCTGGTGGACAGTAAAATGACAATGAGTAAACAGTGTGCTCTTGCGGCCAGGAAGGCCAATGGTATCTTGGGCTGCAGAGGGAAGAGTGTGGCCAGCAGGTCAAGGGAAGTCATTCTCCCCCTCTACTCTGCACTGGTGAGGCCACAACTGGAGTACTGTGTCCAGTTCTGGGCTCCCCAGTTCAAGAGGGACAGGGAACTACTAGAAAGAGTCCAGCGTAGGGCAACAAAGATGATTCAAGGATTGTAGCATCTCCCTTATGAGGAGAGACTGAGAGAGCTGGGACTCTTTAGTCTGGAGAAGAGAAGGCTGAGGGGAGACCTTATCAATGCCTACAAGTATCTCAAGGGAGGGTTGAAGGAGGAGGGAGCCAGACTCTTTTCAGTGGTTCCCACTGAGAGGACGAGGGGCAACGGGCACAAGTTGGAACAGAAGAGGTTCCACTCAAATATGAGGAGAAACTTCTTCACAGTGAGGGTGACAGAGCCCTGGAACAGGCTGCCCAGGGAGGGTGTGGAGTCCCCTTCTTTGGAGATTTTCAAGACCCGCCTGGATGCTCCTGAGTGACATGCTCTGACAAGCTCTAGGCAATCCTGCTTCAGCAGGGGAGTTGGACTAGATGATCTCTATGGTCCCTTCCAACTCTAAAAAATTCAGTGAAATTCAGTGAAATTCTTCTGGTGTTAACACTTTTGCTTTTCAATTTCTTCATCAAAATGGATATTTGTTTCTGGATTATTAGCCATTACTTGTGGTGGTACCTCACTTCATACCTGTGTTTTTTGTTTTCTTTTGGCTCTCCTCTATCATTCCTCTCTCCTCTGATGCTCAATATGTCCTCATTACCTTTGTACCGTATCTGAATTGTAAAACAAGATTTTTCTGTCCAGAAGCCATGATCCAAGTGCTAGCAGATGCCCTGTTCTGATGCTCTGTTACAGTAAGCTCTCCCTAAAAGCCCTGCCGGTGCCCTCTGGTCTCTGCAGCACCTGGTCTCTGCTGAGTACTAGGAGTTGGCATAAAAGTACAGTCGGTATCAGGGCAGGAGGGCCAGGATTTGTGATAAGAATGACTAACACAGGGCTAGAGCTGGTTTAGCCACCTGGAAAACCTACTGCTTCTAGCAGGGAGGACTTCAGGAAAAGTTGCAACAGCAAACATCCTTGGCTTTAAAGAGTCCTTGTACCCAGTACCTGCACAAATACAAAGCAGTCTCCTGACAAATGGTCAGTCAGGAAAGCCTGGACACTAGATATTTTTTTAATATTTAGTATTTTAAAATATTTTTTGATGTGTCTTTTGCTGATCTTTTATTTTGGCCCTCCTGCAAGAGCTGTGTTGGATTACAGATGACAATGTATCTGGGCTCGTACTGTGCTTCTGACCAGCGTGTTTTTGAGTTGGCCAGTACCAGCCTTTCAGGAACACATGCAACTGTGAGTCCAGAAATAGGCACCTTCTCAGCAATAGTTGCTGGCACATTCCTCCATACCCCCACAGTTACAGACAGCGTTGTGTCCTCAGTGCCAAATTAAGGTTGCAGTGGATGGGATGTGCCACTTTTAGTCCCTACCCTTTTCCCTCCTTCCCAAACTGCAGCTGCTCTTATGGGAATGAGGCTTTCTTTTGGACCTTCAATTACTGCATCAGGGAAGAGCAGAACTTGATACCCTGGGTGACATTTGTTGTTCCAATCAGAACTCGATACCCTTTTGGTTATTTGTCATTCCACATCCTTTTTAAAAACTGAGCATTCTCCGTATGGCAGTGCTGATGAAATTTGAAGCGGCAAAGGTGAAAAACTTGGCATTTTCCTGACTGAATGGCACAGCAGGGAGATGTTAGTTTTTTCATGAAAGTTGCTTTTGTAATAGGAGTGCTAAAAGAGGGCTTTGCTCTTCTGATGCTGCCACTAATTCCCTGAACAAGTGAATCAATCTGTGTTTTGATACAGGTTTTCCTTTGTTTTATCTTTTAGAGAAAAGGCATTGCATGGTCAGGATTTGGGGAAGTTGTAAAGCTTTTTATTAGCTTTGCCACGAGGTGGTAGTCGTGGAAATAATTACTCTTTGCTCTCTTCGGCCTGTAAAGCAGAGTTAAATATTCAAGCTCACAGAGCTGTAGAGTAGCTAATGCTCCATGGTCATCTGAGGGCTGCACTCAGATGCCAAGTGTAATCATTGTTTTCTTTGCCCTGCAGACGGAGAAGGATATCCTGTTACGTTCTGAGCTAGAGGAGATCCAGGTTCAGAACCCCGGTCGCTTTAAGTGTTGGTACACATTGGACAGAGCACCTGAAAGTAAGATCTAACATGCTACTTCCACTGAAGCTTAAGTTATAAGTATTAATGCATGTGTTTGACAGGAGACGTGCGATGTCATATGCGTATTTCTGGGCTCCTTTCTTGCTTTTGTGAGTTGTGTCTGAATGCATCAAGCAGCAGCATCGTTCACAAACTCCAGATAGAATTGGGCAGTGTTTCCAAAGTTACAAAGCTCACCTCAGGTGAAGGGTAGTGTGGTGTTCCTCCCGTGAGCACACCTGAACATTTACCATTATTTACTCTGCTCCAAGGTGGCCTTCCATTCTCCTTCCCCACAGACATAGAGCACATGTTCTCTTACTGCCTTGTGTTCAGAACGTGCATCAAGGTGGCTGTGGTGGGAGGGTCAGAGGCTGACCTAGCTGTCACTGTGATGCCCAATTTGCCCCAAAAGGCGAAATAGAAACTGCAGTCTCAGAAAATAGAAACTGCTCAGAAAATAGAAACTGCTCAGAGACTAAGTTTTCAAGTCCATAAGCAGGAGGTATTTATTAGCAACGCGTTGGGGAACTCTCCAGGCCGCCCTGGACAAAGAGTTCCGTTGGTTAGCAATCAGTGCAGCTTTTTTATACAAGTTTGAGTGTAGGTTACATCATCTTTACATGCATATTCATATCTTTACATGCATATTCATATATAGGCGGAGCCTTCCATTTTAGGGAGTCGTCTGGTGGGAGTTCCGGTGCCTTCATCAGGGTGGGGGATCGTCTTGTGAGTCTTCCTCGGGTTAAAGTTCTGAACTCTTCCTAATTTGGGTAGCTTCTTGGTGTACTTGGCAAGGTCGGAGTGACCTTGGTTCATCCTAAAATTGCTGAAGCTACTACTTCATGTTCTGGTGTTCTTTCCTATCAACTTGTTCTGTTCTCTCAGACAATTTATTACCTTCGTGATTTGGTAAGATCTAGCAAATGTAGCCTGACTGACCACAAACGGGGCCTGCAACTACTCAGAGCTATGACAAGAGAGGATGCAGGAATGTAGGGAGTAGTCCTGAGACCAGCACCATGATGTCTTGAAGCAGCAAAACAGTATTGTCGACCTTGTTGGGAGAGAGGGGATTCAGAGAAGGAACCCAGCTTACATTTTAACTCCTTATTTCTCGAAGACTGCTTCCTTTTGAGCCGTTTCAACTGTATGGCAATTCATGGCAGCTGACCTTCTTCCTTGGCAATGGAATTGCCTTTGTATTAACAACGTTAACAAAGAAAATACTGTTCCAGCTTGGTGCAGTTTTAAAGATAAGGTGATATGAGTTGGCTAGTCGAGGTGAGGTGATGAGCTAGCTGAATGCGCCTCCCTCGGCTGTGTGAGTTTGAGGAAGAAAAGGCTAAATAGTTACTGCCATTGTGAAAAGGCTAAATAGTTTCCATGTCATTCCTTGATGTTTTTCTTTCTTAGCATTCCCTGTCATACCCACCCACATGAGGATAGATTCACACTCCTATTCAGTGATAGTTTGGGGCAGAGCAGGAAAAGCCATATGTGTTCTCTGACCTTATGACCAAGAATGTGTCTCCACAAGGGTGAGGGGAAGGGTCTTGCAGTCCCCACAGTCTGTTGGTGGCGTGCCATCTTCTGCAACTAGTGTTCTCCTGGAATTTCTAAGGCAGCTTAGATTCAGGTGTAATCGCTGTTCCTTTTCTTTGGTGATTGTGAATTGCCAACTGATCTTAGCAGTTGTGATAAAATTTCCTCCTTAGACCCTCTCAACACTGTTCTGCAGACTTTCACTACCATATCTGAAAACGGACCAAAACTGGACATTTTTGGATAGTCTGTGAGAGAAAAACTTGTCAGTCTTACTGTGCCCAAAGGTTTGGGTCAGCAGGTTTTTGCATCCAGGGCTGGGATGGGTAAGCCTGAGTGATCAGCTCTGTGAGTGTTCCTACCAGGAACAACTTCATCAGCTAGATTTCCTCTCGGGACCTTGTAAGCAGTGGGGTATGGAGGATGGGTGTTGGTTATTTCACAGTGTTGGAGCTGAGAAGATTCACAGCTCTGCCTGAGATTTTCTCAGGGCTTTTAGGAGGCTTTACTAGAAGTTAGCCCTTGTTTCCTCTATACATTAGTTTTGAGTCTTAAAAGCAGAGGCGGCAGTTTTTCCGTGTAGCGTGACTGTGTTGAGGACATTAATGCCTGTGAAGTGTACAAATGTTACAGTCCCAAATGTTACAAAAAAAAACCCAAACCCCCACACTTCATTCTAAATGGAGTTGTATCAATCTTTTCCTCCTCTTTTTTTACCTTGTTCCCCTTCCCCTGCTTTCATTTCGTTAACAGATTGGGATTACAGCGAAGGGTTTGTGAACCAAGAAATGATCAGAGACCACCTGCCCCCACCTCAAAACGATGTTCTGATCCTCATGTGTGGACCTCCTCCAATGATCCAGTATGCTTGCATTCCCAACCTGGACAAACTGGGCTACACCAAGGACATGAGGTTCTCCTTCTAAAGAAGACTGATAATTCAGAAATTTTGTGTGTAAGGGAAGAAAAAACATTTAATGGGGAACAGGACAAAGTTACAGAGACGGCTGACGCACTGGGCTGGGAAGCTACACTTACATTAAAAGAGCTTCATTTTTTCTGAATCTCTGCCAAGTAAAACACTTAAGCTTAATGGTATTAAAAATGTACTTTTTGCAGTTGCAACTGATGTTGCACAGAAACAACTGTATTGTGGGAAGTGAGTGATGCCTGTTGTACTTGTGTATGACATCTCAAAGGAGGACAGTATACCTGCTTAGGGTAGTAAACACTCATTTACACTTTTTCTTAGCACTGTAATCAAACGGCAGTAATATCCTGCTTTCTATCACTGTGCAGTATTTTATTTGGTAGGAAATATGAAAATATATAGGATGTGCTGGATTATTCACCTTGCTTTTGCCAAATTTTAATCCTTACAAAGCTTTTTTAAGTAGGAGGGCCCGGAGTGTTTGCCTTGAATGCATAATCTTTGCAACATCAGAAGCTTAAAGATTTTTCTTCAGTTGGAGGATGACAATTAACTGTCTCTGACTGAAGTTGTTCGAGCTGCCTTGTTAATCAAAACAGAGAGGTAGACAGCAGTACAAAATTTGTTTCCTTTGTATTTTGGAATAGCGTCTCTTAAATGCAGATACTTTTCCAGCTGGTCACAGTTGTCATCCCTGAGCAATGAAAGAAACTACAAAAAGCAGGCTGCTTTGTGCACTGTTCCACAAATAGCTGGAATTTTTGGCTTGTATGTACGTGGAATACTGAAAAAAAAAAGACATACTAACTTTTTGTATTTACCTTTAAATAGCAGATGATGCCATGAGTACAAACACAGTTGTTCTGCCTGTCCCGTGCGGTGAAAAAACACCGTTGGGTGAAAACTGGATCTAGTTTTAGTGTCTTGCTTCCCAGAGAGATTGGAAGGAGGGGAGCTCGGGTCCCATTGCCAGGGTGGGTTTCAGCAGGTAGCCCAGCTTGGGATGGGGTACGCCAACGGCGGGGAGGACCTGCCTGCATCTCTTGGTCAGGCAAAGCTCCGAAGGGTTTTGCTTGGTCAGGGTGTGTGGCAACAGCCTTAAGTCACCAAACTGACAGCAAATTCAAACGTCTCACTGAATCTTAAACTGTTTCTTAGATGCTGTTTACTATAGCTCTGGTTTTTTATTTTTTTTTAATACCCTTTTTTTTCACAGCAGCCTTTTACCTAGCCTTTTAAACGTAAGGTTATCTTGTGTGCAGAACTTTCTGCTTTCTAAACAACAGAGATGGTGCTGAGGTTAGAGCTGTCCTGCAAGGAAACTGAGAAACTTAAAGTCTTGTTCTCTGGTGATGAAATCAGAGTGACCGAAAGGATGTTTTGTCGTATATGAAATAATGTGGATGCTGGTGAGCTACAAGTGTCAGTGTATAATACCACTTGTTTAAAGATGGGAGTAAGTATTTAAGGTTGTAGTTTGCTATGTTGTCTTTTGTGCCTGTACGGCTAATGGGTACTGGGCACTTAAAAGGTTAATGTTCAGCATGAATTAAAAGGAGAAAAAAGATACTACAGTTAATTTAAGGAACCCCAAATGGATAATAGTGTTATTAATTTTATTAATTAGATGCTTTACTCTGAAGTCTTGAATTTTTGCTGTGTGCTTGAGAAACTTACTCTTTAATACTATGCTCCAGAGTTCAAATTGTACTCAAGTAAGTTTCAGTCCCTTTTGTGGAGGCAAAAAGCAGAAATACAAGAGCTGTTTTCTTGCTGCTGGTTTATATCACTGTGGGATATGCAAAGGTTTTTTTTCATTATTGTATTTAATGAAGTTTTCTTGTAAAAAAAAAAATAACTCTAGCTGGTTATGCATCAACCGTTTTGTATTACTTACTCTGCTTATTCGATAACTGGCTTTTTTTCACATCTGTGTAAGAAATAAAGTATCTTGCAGGTGAATCAGCAGTGTGTTACTGAGAATATCATCTTTGTAAGAGACAAACTGTAATTGTAAAACACTCTATAAAGTGATGGTTAAAAAAAACAAACAAGAAAGTCTGTTAGAGTGCTTATCTTTTTTGTTTGAGTTTGATGAAAACTGCTGTATTTGGATGCTGAGTCAAGGAGTAAACTGTCTCGGTTTTTCTCCCTATTACTCCGATGTCCTCTTTTTACTTTTATTTTGTAAATCTTCCTGTGAGCATGAGGCTCTTTGAACAATTAAAAAGAGGGATTTTATATAATCTACTGAAACAAAACTGTGTTGTGGTCCCTTTTGCTTGATGCTCCTGTGCTATAGCATTTAAATAAGCCAGGGAGAAAAGATGTGCTTTACTTTTTTTAATTTTCTTCCTTTGAGCCAATTCATCTGTCTCACAGAAAAATAAGAGTATTCCTCCACTTTTCTGATGGGATGTGCTCAGAGTATGATCTACCCTCCATGTTACAAAGTAGTTGGGGAAACAGGAATCCTCTGTGGAAAGGGCTTTTGGGGACAGTTAGGGAAGGGAAGGGAAGAGGGAAGGGAAGAGGGAAGGGAAGAGGGAAGGGAAGGGAAGGGAAGGGAAGGGAAGGGAAGGGAAGGGAAGTTACAGGCCTAAGGAGCTGAGGTTATGTGGGAACATCCCAGAGTGAGCAAGACATTTGCTCAAGAGCTTCAGATAGAAATGGATGGGGAAGGGAAAGGAGAGGGAAGGGAGAGGGAAGGGAGAGGGAAGGGAAGAGGGAAGGGAAGGGAGCCATGCTGGGCTCTGACAGGCATGTGGTGGCCCCAAGCAAGTCCTTGCTTCTGCTCCTTGTTGGACTGGGGGTGGGGTGTATGTGAAGGGGCTCTGGGTGCTTTACTCTTTCAAGGCACCGTACGACAGATAAGGAAATACTTGTTGCCTCAGCGGGGTTAATAGTGTCCTCCAGAAGTTTCTGGCCAGAATAACTTGGTTTACAGAAATGAGCCTTGAAGTGTTCCTGAGCTTCCTCTTGATCCTGCCTAAGTAACCAGGAAGGAAAGGAGAGTTGCTTGGGCAAACCCAGTGCAGCAGACAGGCTCTCCCTTGTGTTTGTAACTTCTTTTGCATATGGACAGGCTGGAGAGGTGGTCTCATGCAAATCACATTAAGTTCAACCAAGCCAAGGGCAGGGTCCTGCACCTGGGCCATGGCCATCCAAAGCACAAATCCAGGTTGGGTGGAGAATGGCTGGAAAGCAGCCCTGAGGAAAGGGACTTGGGGGTTCTGGTGGAGGAGAAGCTGGACATGAGCAGGCAGTGGGCAGTTGCAGCCCAGAAGGTCAATCCCATCCTGGGCTGCATCAAAAGAAGCGTTGCCAGCAGGTCCAGAGAGGGGATTCTGCCACTTTACTCTGCTCTGGTGAGACCTCACCTGGAGTATTGTGTGCAGGTCTGGAGCCCTCAATATAAGAAGGACATGGACCTGATGGAGAGGGTCCAGAGGAGGGCCACAAGGATGATCAGGGGGATGGAGCACCTCTGCTACGAGGACAGGCTGAGGGAGCTGGGGTTGTTCAGCCTGGAGAAGAGGAGGCTCCAGGGAGACCTAATAGCAGCCTTCCAGTACCTGAGGGGGCCTACAGGAAGGCTGGGGAGTCTGTTTCCAAAGGCCTGTCGTGACAGGATGAGGGGCAATGGCTTTAAGTTGGAGAAGACCAGATTTAGATTGGAGATTAGGAGAGGGTTCTTCACTGTGAGGGTGGTGGAGCACTGGAACAGGTTGCCCAGGGAGGTGGTTGAGGCCCCATCCCTGGAGATATTCAAGGAGAGGCTCAACGAGGCCCTGGGCAACCTGGTCTAGTTGGGGGTGTCCCTGCTGACTGCGGGGGGTCGGACTAGATGGCCTTTGGAGGTCCCTTCCGGCCTGGACAATTCTGTGACTCCTGGATCTTTTATACTGAGCGTGTGGTCAGTTTTGGTCACCTGTTCTGTCCACTCCTCCTCATGGATGTGACCCTTCCACGCTTTTCCACTTCCAACCCTCCAAGGGGGCAAATAAGAAAATTAGCTGACCTTGGTTGTTACAGCAATTAGTACAAGGAAGGGCCTCTCTGCACACCATTCCTTGGCATAAACTAAAAACACAAGTTGCTGCGATTGAGAGACGGGACACTGCTTGATGCAAGCACGTTGCCGAATTATTATGGCTTTTTCTTCTACTTTTATACATATTAGAAACCATACACTCAGATCAAGGGATAGCACGTCCCTTGATGACTGATTGACTCCCCAGGCACCCACTAATTGCCGGTTAACAGTTTCCAAGTTTATCTCAAGTTAGGAAAACGGTGTCAAGATGACGTATGTATTGTTCAATGCAAGGTGGGCACTCTTTTGTTTCTTCTAAGTAAGACTGTTATCTTATGCCTCCCAGGGCTTGCCTCCAACAAGTCTTAACATGTCCTCCCTTTTCAGTTGAGCAACACTGGGAGCCCTGCAAAGGCGGGCTGAGCCATTTCCTTCAACAAGTCTTAGCCCTCTGAGAGCAGACAGTTTCTGCACCACGTGCTGTTAGTTTCAAAGCCTTCAGTTGGTTAGGAGAGGCTTGGCTGAAAAGCAAAATTACTGAACAGAAAACTGGCAAGTCTTAGCCCTCTGAGAGCAGACAGTTTCTGCACCACGTGCTGTTAGTTTCAAAGCCTTCAGTTGGTTAGGAGAGGCTTGGCTGAAAAGCAAAATTACTGAACAGAAAACTCGTTCTGTTTTCCCTCAAACCAGGACGCGAATGCACAGCTCCTGACCAAATCCCCTCTGCCCTCAAACCAGGTTTGAGGGAATGCACAGCTCCTGACCAAATCCCCTCTGCTGGCAGCTGTTGGGTCGAGGTGGATGCTACCAAGTAGCATCCCCTGCTGAGCTCCCCAGAGGAACAAGAGAGGAAATGACTGCTCAGCAAGGAGGGGGGGTTCATCCTTCCAGGGTGTGGGAGAGGGAAGAGAAAGCGGAGGTGGATCGGTGAAGGGAGGAAGGAGGTAGAGAGGTTTCTGTGGGGCTGAGGTATCCCTCGGCTGTAGATCAAGGCCCCTGCAGGCAGTGTTCATGTCACCTTCAGCTCGGGGCACACAGGCCACTGGTGGTGCCAGATGCCCTCCTGGAGCAAAAAAGCCCTGGCAGTAAGGGCCCAGGGCATCTCCTCTTGAGTCAGAAACTCCTGGTGGGCCCAGGTAGGGTGAGTATCTGTATCCAGTGATAAGCTAATCGTGCTTCTTAAATTAAAGTTTCTTTAAAAATGGTGAGGGGAGGTGTTCTGCTGTGTTTTTTTTCTCAAGAGGAAGACCTACCCGGCTAAGCCAACCAACCAACAGCAGCAGCGTTGGCAGGTTTCCTTTACTGACAGACACCTTTCTTTGCTGGGCAATGATCTGTGAGCTCATGAAAAAAACCCTACAGCATAAACATTACATTATACTAAAATAAATACAGTAACAAATTATATCCAAAGGAGAAAAAAAAAACAAAAACCAAAAAAACACACACACAAACCAACACAACCCCTTCACTTTGCTTTTACTAGCCTTATTACACAAATTACCGTGGGATTAAACTGCCTGAGGTCGGTACCTTACCTGGTAAATGGGTTCACGCAGTTGCAGTGAGTCACCTGAGCTGAGACTCCACCTTGGCTGAATAAACACACACAGGCTAATTTACGTTGCTAAATACTTTGTTGTGCATCTTCACCAATGTTATCCGCAGTACAGAGCCTTGGCCAGTTCCCACCATTGCTGAGGGCTCAGGATCCTGAGCTAAAACCCTCCAGGCAACCAGGTGAGGAGTGTGGTGCAGCCTTGGGGATGAACCCTGGCTCCCAGAATGAAGACCAAGCCCCGGTGACTCCTCTGAGGTGCCAGAGCCGCTCTGGAGAACACAGACAGAATGTGTAACTTCCATAGCCCAAACTCTAGACCATCAAGACATTTTGATTTTCTCCTTCCAATGCCCCCCCCAGAAAAACCATGAAAAACATCCAAAGGAAAAAGCCCAGCCAGTTTCCAGAGAGAGTATTCCTACAGAACTGAAGCACACAAAAGACACACACTATTTATATATATAAGATACAAAGTCAATGCAAAATTAAAGCTTTTCTGCCATTTATAAACCAATCAATCCTGCTGCAGCACTGGTTTTGCTGTTAAACAGGCAAAAAACTGTCCCCATCTCCCAGTCCCCCCTGAATGGGTGTGGAGTCCTTGCTCTCTGCACGTCCCCATAGCTAGGAGTATTTTCTATGTAGAACACCAGAACAGTCCTCTCTGTCCCACCAAACCCCTGCACAAGGGTGCCAGCACTTTAAAAACAACTGTATCTCAGTGACCTATTTCAAAACTAGAAGGCTTCTCTGCCCCGTACCCAGCCACGTTTGTGACACAGCAAAAATTTCACAGTTCTCTGTGTTTGTTTTTATTTCAGATCACCTTTCAGCTTTGCCTTCACACCTACACCATGGGAAGCTGCAAAAATTTCTAGCACTGATGCTGCAGCTTTATGCCCCCCCCCCTTTTTTTCTTAAATGTCTGTGTAAATAGCAGCCTTTATTTCTCAGCTGCCCCATCTTATAACTCACATAGTAAATTATGAATGAGATTTTGAAACTATTTTTATTTCGTTAAATGAAATGAATGACATTCGTTCATCAGTCCTCTGACACAGGCAGAGGATTTTTGCATAGAAAAAACTATTCCATTAACTATAAACAAAGTGAGTTTACCAGTTTGAAAAGTGATCAGATCTTCCTTCACTAGTTAACAGTGGCTGAAAAAAATAACTACAATTGTCTAACCCAAAAGTCTCACTTTGTCCACTAAAAGCTGAGGGAAATGGAATAAATGAGTCCATAAATGCAGCCAGCTGCTAAGCTACTGAAAACAAAGCCAAAGAGAAATAATTTTGCCTCCTCCAGACTTTTGCTCTCTACCATGAGTGGTCAGGAGCTGCCTCCTCTGCCCTGAAAAGCAAAAGCTTCCACGAACATCTCCAGGACCAGGGTTTTGGTGGTTTTCCCCCAGGTTTCTTTAACATCTGCTGCTGCTTTTTGGTCACGTCTTGTCCTGATGCAGCCTCTCAGCAAGAACAGGCTTTGCTGGGACTGAGCCTGGCCCTGCATTTCGGTCACAGCCCTGAGGCCACAGCCTGGCTGTAGATCTACTTAGGCAGGTGTTTCTGCCAATTGATGGGGTCAACAGACCCCAGTAAAAAGAGCAGGCTTATTTTACTCTCTATTTCAAGGTAATATAAAAATAACGTAATGCATTCAGGTAAAACAATAAGCTTATTATACTCTAGCAAAGAGAATAAGCAGGGTAATGTACCTCATCATGGAATAATATAGCGAGAGTAAAACAAAGCAGGATAAAGCACCTAATCGTTACTACGTAAGGTTAACTGTAGTAATTAAGAAAGATACATCACCAACTGTGCTAATACTTTACCATCATCCAGATCCGCAGTCGCTGGGGAGCCCCGGTTGCAGCGAGTATTTGGAGATCCTTTCCTGGCAACGGGGAGGCCCAACGCAGTGCGCCCACTTGCAGGTGAGGCCTACAAAGTCGCTGCAAGAGGGTCCAGCTTTTATACAGCTGAATAAACAATAAACATCTTTCAAAACTCCAAGTGCGGGAACTTCTGTTGCCACCCTCCCTGTGGGATTCCCCCCAAACCCGGCCAGGGCTCAAGGAGGGGCCCAAGGGAGTTTTTCTATCTATTTTGGCCTTGACCACGTATCTCTCAACAAGTAACATGCCTATAAATAAAGAACTTAGCAAGGCCAGACACCTGTTTTCACAGCCTTGCCACACACCTCTAAATAAAGATTGTTCTGCTGGTTACCCCTACGCAATAAGCATTACAGTAAAGCTTTATAGATTAGCATCGATACATATATTCATACTAAAATAGCTCAGTAATACATTGCATATACGATTAATACTATGTATATTAGCTATATTGTTGGGTTGTGAGGCTCCATCTAGAGGTCAACTTTAGTTTGAGGCCTGTTGTTCAGGCCTCAGTACTTCAGCAGGTGAGTAATTAATGTCATATAGCCCATTTCTATTGCTAGGAAAGGCTTTTTCCTCTGAGTTGTGGCTGAGCTCCTGCCTCCAAACCAGCGTTTGGAAGCCCTGGCATTGTCCTTCATGCTCACTGCAAAGCTTCTAACCAGTAATTTTCTTTATTGCGTCCTCAAGCTCCTATTACAGAAAAAAAAATCAGACTGTGAACAAAGGCTGTGAGTCAAGTCTAACTCATGACCTCCCACAGGCTCGAGGCAATAAAGCTTCCACTGGCTTTATATGCCAAGACTTAAATGTCTGGCGGACAAAATGTTCTGGAAAAATGATGTGCCTTCTACCAACATATTTTTCTGGCATGTACTAAACCAGTGCTTTACACACAGTTTATGTATCTATCGCCCACCTCCTTTGGGCTGCTTTTTGCACCGGGGCAGTTTTCCAGCATGTCTGTTGTGGGCAGGAAGCTGTCAGAACTGGTGACAAATTGCTGCAGCACATTCCTGCCCGACGGGCGGCATTTTTGCTCTTCCCTGGCAATGCTGTCTAGCATGACTCCACCCATGGCCTTGGGCTTCCCTGGCACACCAAACAGCATCACAGAGTCACCTAGGTTGGAAGGGACCTTTAAGATCACCTAGACCAACCACCAACCTTACTTTGACAAAAAAAAAAACCAAACACAACACTAAACCACATTCCCGAGCACCGTGTCAACCCGTCCAGGGTTGAACACCTCCGGGGATGGTGCCTCAACCACCTCCCTGGGGAGCCCATTCCAAGGAAATCCTTTCAGTGAAGAAATTTTTCCTAATATCCAACCTGAACCTCCCCTGGTGCAACTTGAGGCCATTTCCTCTTGTCCTATCGCCTGTGACTCGGGAGGAGATCGACCCCCATCTCTCTAGAACCTCCCTTCTCACAAAAACCTGTCCCACCAGGTGGCAGAATCACAGACTCACGGAATTGTCAGAGTTGGAAGGGACCTTCTAGAGACGATCCAGTCCAACCCCCCTGCCAAAGCAGGGTTGCCCAGAGCACATCACTCAGGAGCATCCAGGTGGGGCTTGAAGATCTCCAGAGAAGGGGACTCCACACCCTCCCTGGGCAGCCTCTTCCAGGGCTCTGCCACCCTCACCCCAAAGAAGTTCTTCCTCACATCTCACACCTGCTCCTGTTTCGGTAGTGCTCGCCTGCCAGTGTGGCTTCCTGGCAGCAGTCCCCCACTGTCTCAGCGAGGCCACCTTTGCTGTGGAAAAGCTCAGCCAGCTGTAAAGCCTGCACAGCCACCTGAAGTTTGATTTGCTTGTCAGCTCCAGAGCCCAGATCCAGTCCACCCCAGCACGGGGAGGAGTGCTGCTTGGTCAGTTTGCTGATTGTGACACATTCCTCTACTCCCTTTTCCATGCAGAACCTGATGAAGCTGACCAAGAAGATCCCACTCAGAGTGTTTGCTGCTGGCTGGAATTTGCTCTGAGGATCCACAAAACCAAGACAGTCCTTCAGCCTTTGAGATGCATGGACCACGCCTTGGCTGAAGACTTCACAGATGACTAGAGTTTCAGCCTTGTTCTCTTGGTTGTCTTCGTGTGAGACCTTCTGGCCCATTTCGTGTGCAGGAGGAGGTCATTTCCACATGCAGAGAGCCTCAGGGAAGTCTCTGCCTTTTCCAGTGAAGGCTTTCTGGGTGCAGGGCTCAGCCAGCCCTATTAAGCATGCACAGGTTACCTGCCACCTTCCAGATGAAGGTCATGGCAGCAGCAGAGCTGCCGTGACCATGGGGCAGACAGGCTTTCTCCTGGGTGTGTTTCTCCACAGCTGACTGGGCAGCCACCAACCCAACAGGCCCAGTAACTTCCTGAATTCACCTGGGCTTCTTTTCCTTACTGTTAATTCTGGCACCATTTCTTTAGACCATGCTATCCCATTCCAGTCTGACCTTATCTCCTTTGAGCTCCTTTCTAGGACTCACTGGAGAAGCCATTTTATTGGCACTGGGTGTTTCCAGGAGATGGGAAAATCCCCCAGAGATGAGCACACATCCCAACCTGAAGAATTGCACAGGGTACTGGAAATGACATCGTGGCCTTTTTTGATGGGCCGTTGCCCGTATCCTACCATTTACTGCTGTTACTGTTGGTGGCATCAGTTGTGCCACGGCAACGCACATGGACGGGGCTGGACTTTGGGCTCAACGGAGGAGCTCGCGTTGCTGCTGCCTGTAACTGGCTTATCTCAGAAGCTTGGGCAGACAGTGCACTACCACACACGACTATCAAATACAAGTATGCAAAAAAAAGAAGATTCCTAACCTTTAAAAAAAAAAAAATCCAGTCTCCCTATCTTTGAAAGCTGAAGGTGTGTTACCGCTGCGGCAGGAGCCACCCCTGTTCAGCTCTGATGTTGCCGATGCCAAATGCACCACTGTGGTCTCTTTATCAGCCTGGGACCTCACCACCTTTCTCAAGAAACAGGCTCAGTTCTGCTGAATGCTCCTCTTCCTCCTCCTCTTCATTCTGAAGGAGTGATCTGCCTTTCTCTGCCCTCTTGATTCTCATTGCTCAAAATGTCTTTATTTGATATCTCTCTCTTCTTCTGCCTACAGATGTTCTTGTGCTCCTGCCACTCTAGGGCAACATCTTCTCAAGGGCATGGGCTGGTTAGTCCCGATGCTGCCCTTGGGTTCCTCTCTCTAAGAAACACATCATGTCCTACATATTATGTGTCTTCTCTTCCACAGGTCTTAAAAAGTGTCATGGGCCCACCCCCATTCCTTTACGACCTTCTCACAGTTATCGTAAGGGATCATGCTGCTTCTTCTGATGTTGTCTCTGATTGTAACTCTAATTTCCTTTTTATTCAAGGGTTCCCCAGCACCTGATACTCTTCTTGCTGACCTCCCCTTCAAATCTGCTGGCAACTCAGGTTTTACTTCTTAGCTGCCTCAAAGAGCAACTATCATCTTCTTCCTGCCAACTCAGAGTAAATGGGCTCAGCAGGAAAAGTTATTGCTACAAGTGAAAATGCCAAAGTACTAAGACGAAGCATAAAATATGCACAAAACATTCATAACAAGTGGTGTAAGGCATAAAAAGCATGCAGGCAGGAGAAGTGCAACTTCTCTCCTACAGGGAAAGGCAGGATGCAACAATATCTAGTGGAAATCAGAAGAGGCATTCCAGAGGTTATTCTGGATTATTTCTCCATTCCAAAGCATATATACATAATTTTAGCAAACAAACAAACAAAAAAGCTGGGTTAAATCTCCATAGGGTTTTGATTGATACCCATCTATCTTTTCCTCATCACCGTAAAGGAATAGACAACAAAAAAGTATTATGTTCTAGATTTCAAAGTGTTTATCCTCAGTGTTCCCACTGGAACATCAAGCTGAATGAAGGTCACGAGACAGGGATCCTACAACTTCTGGTCTGTCATCTGATCATCATTTGTACCTGCACGCCAGCAACGTGTAGTTTGGGGAAGCTCACCTTCTACCAGCAAAGCAGCTGGAGCTCCTGTGGGTGCTGAGGGCTGCCAGGGAAAGGAACGACACCTGGGACCAGAGAGGTTGTTGCCCTTTCCAGCAAGAAGGGCCAGAGCTGGTCCTTCCTTTGGCACCCTGTGAGGACTTGCTGAGGAGCACACAATGAGCAACGGGGGATACTTTCTAATCACAGCATACCAAACAACCTGAGGTGGTTCAAATCAGCATCCCAGAAATAAGTAGAAAGACTTGGGGTAGTTGGTTTCTTAGCTGGTAGCTGAGTCCTTCTGCAGGCACTATTGACAAACGAACTAATGAGTCCACAAAAAAGGTGCGATTTTGTCCCTTCTCCCCCCTCTTTGTCTTTTAAATAGAACAAAACGAGCTTCCCAGGATAATAAAAAGGAAAAAAAAAGAAGATACATTAAAAGGAACCAGTTTCCAGAAACATTTGGCATTTATTGGATTTTACATGGCAATACACAGTAGCTATGTTGCCCTCTTCAAACACGCACAAATTAAAATACCCCAAAGGTATCAATTGTGTGCACATGCACACATACACTTTCTGACTTGATCACTTGCTTTCAAAGTCTGCCCCATAAAATAACCAAGGTTCAGATGACAGGCAGCTTCGAGGGGATGAGCTGGCTTCCAACCAGTGAATGTAGGAAGGGGTTGTTTGGAGCAGAATGCTAATTGCACTGGACTTAAATAAACCATCATATGCTTGCTAATTCCAGCACACAGTCTTGTCTCACTAGCCTCCCCCTTTTTTTTTTTCCTCTTGTCAATGTCCAAGCCATGTTCACCAGCCAGTGTCTACTGAGAGCGAATCTGGAGGAACATCTTTACTCAGGAGCCGTCACCACATCTTCCCAGTGCTTCTGCAGCACTTGGGAAAGCAGGCTCGTAGGCCCAACTTACACTGTAAATAATCACTATATCGCATGGTATTCCCAGAAAGCAAGCCCTGAATCCACATCCCAAGCATCTGCACCCTAACGCTGACGGCAGGCGTTACACAAGGTGGTATTTCTGCTCAAATAAAACAGCTCAAACACCCCCAAGACTGCAGAGGAAGAAACAACAGAGAGAGCAAGTTGTTTATGGACAGAATTAGTCAGGAATATTGAATAAAGCATCCGTCGTGATCTGTCTGCACACAAATGGTAACCAGCATAAAGTATTTTAGGTATACATCACGGATTGTTTGCCTGGCTTCAGTAACTTAAAGATGGCAGCACCTGGTACTACGTGTAACACAACCAGTCCACATCAAATATTTCCTCTTGGTACATCAGTAACAGCAACAGCGTACACTGCACGTCCTGCAGAGAAACAGGCTGGTAACAGCTTATGAGGATACAATAACATCGTGCTAGAACGCGTCTCCAGTCTACCCCAACATCTGACGGGAGCTCCGTGGAAGCCCCTTCTTTCTTCCTTTTCTAGCCTTGTTAGTAGTTTTTCAGAAATACCCACAAAATCAGCACAAATCTAACATGCCTCGTACCGTACCAGAGCGTGTTGGAAACGGTCTCACCTCCAGCAAGGAGAGCGATGAAACGAGTGACAAATGCTTGGTGAAGCAACACACCACCACGAGGGACAATTCCAGCTGTACTTGTTCTGCCTTTACAGAGCAAAGAAGCTTCATGCCACTGTGCTAAAATACATGCAACATTCAACACCACATGGTTCACCACTGTGATAAAACAGTGGGGTTTTTCTGTTTGATTTTGGCTAGGGCACCTCGCAATACCCGAAGGCTGGCAAAAGACTTCCACTGGGTGGGTGGGATTTTTAAAATCTGACGATCTTCAAAAGCAGAGGAGCTGTGGTTTAAGGAGGTAAAATGATGAGCAACATGTTTGTTATTTCAATTTTTGAGGACAAGTCCTACTTCAGGTTTAATATTATGAAATAATATATTTCCTATATATTTCTCTATATAACTTTATTATTTTTTTTTTTGCAACTACACCATCTTTACGTTAGTCACAGCACAGAAACATCCCTTCCATACGCAGGGAGCACTCTCAACTTTGAGAAAATTTTTTAAGTGACCGAAGTGTTAATAACCTTGTTTGAATGCTCTAACTACTGCTGCTGGGAACAAGAAAGAAAACGTTTTAAAATGTGCAGTTTCCACGAGAGTCACTGCTAGAAAAAAACATGCTTTATAATTGTTCCCTCCCAAATGGAACATTCATTAAACTGTGCACTTAGTAAAAAAAGCAACAAAAGCAAACAGTTCCAAAGGTCAGCCTGCATTTTCCAGTAACCAGCTGGTATGCAAACTGGCATCTTTTTACAACCCTTGCCCCTTCCCCTACACCTCAAACTTTCCATCACTCTCTCTCACAAAATTTAAATTTTCGCTTTTATATGTACTTCATATACTTCGTTTGTATTTTTTAATTTTTTTTTTTTTTATAAAACAGTATAAAAATAAGAGCAACAGTCAAGAGCTACCGGGGAGTTTACACAAGACATGGATGACTAAAATCCTACATTGGATACTGTAGGAAGGGCAGACCTGGTATTTGTGCTGAACAAATGCACTTGAAAAAGGGCAGTAATGTCTTTTTTTTCAGCTGAGAGCTTAGAGAAAGCTGATACACAATATCTACAGACACAATGCTTCCACCTAACGTCTTCTGTTATTTTGAAACAGTATGAAGGATTATCTGAGGCTGTGAATAAGCAAAAGGAGCACTATGATACCATGTAGATTTAAATGCAACACTCTGAAACGTATCATCAATTTGTACATTAAATATAGTAAAAACAATTACCATTAATGAGTGTCTGGGTGTTTCTTATGGCAACTTTAGAATAGGCACCTTTTTTTTTTTTTCTTTTTTTTTTAAATTCTCCACTCCAATATTACTTCTAACAAACAGAAGCAAGAGCAATGTAATGTACATGATCTGCTGCCCATCACGAATAATGATGATGTTTCTTGCACACAGGTCAGTGAGCCTTTGTCAGTGCCTGGTGGTTACTGTCACATGTTGGAGTCCTCATCTGTTATACTGGTGCTAGGAGAGCGAGTCACAAAGTCTTTAAACATTTCGTCTTCTTTCAACATATGCTAGAAAGGAAAAGGAGGGAAGAGTCAAGTTTCAGGCCCTCACAACTCAAACCAAGCACATGGGACAAACGGTGCTGTCACCCCTGCCAGCCACCCCTTTGGTTCCGTGGAGGACATTCTTCACCCCTGCTGGTTCTTGACCAGCTTGTGGCTCGGTCCCCTTTCTGCTGGCCCAACGGGCTGGGGGACCACAAGCTGGGGCTGGGCTTCCACCAAGAAAACGTGCCGTGACCCTCAGTTGGCAACCCACCACCCAAGGGCAACTCGCTGACCTAATGCCGAGTGCCCTGTCCTCCAGGAGGGTGGAGAGTCAGCAAAGAGGACTAGTGACCATGGGCCACCACCCCCATCTGGGGCAACCTCCCAGCCAGGATCATAGAATCATAGAATTTCCCAGGCCGGAAGGGACCTCCAAGGGTCATCTAGTCCAACCTCCAAAGGATGGGCAGGTATCTTCCTCAATCGCTAATTTTTCTTTTATTTTCCCCTCTGTCCCTGTACAAAACCCAAAGGACCTCAGCTGACCCCTACTTCTGATGAGGCTTCCCTATGCCCATATTTTATATGTATTTTATATACTTCACAGTATTTTATATCCTTCAGCTCCAGATGCCAGTGGCGCTTCACTTATCCAAAGACTGGCTCCTGCTGTGCACTGAAATCCATCAAAGCAATTGCCCCCGAAAGTACAGAACTCA